CTACCACCATGATGCTCCTCGTGGTTACTTGATCAAGCTCCGACCTTCAGAGTATCCAAAATGATCTTTTTCGACCATAAATTGGTGAAAGAAGTTGCAAGAAACACATATTTGTCCTTCGGAAACACCTCTCTCATCCAATCAAACACCAGCTAACCTCATTCTATAAAGCATTACCGTTCACCATAAATCGTCGTTCGAAAAACCATCAGAAAATAAAAGAGGTCGCATGTTGTTTTGGTGTTTCTCGTCCGATCCTATCACCGATTAACCACATCGCCTATGGTGTCGTGCTCCTCGTCCCTTTATGAGCAAAATCCAACTAGCATCGTTTCATCCCGCCGGTTTCATCGTCCGCCATGAAGGGTAAGCTTTCGATTCTTTGCTGATCATTTCAGCTTGTTTCGCCTTAATATATGATATTTTATTGGTTGTTTTTGGCAAGTGAATCAATGAGGAGTAATAGGACCTGTCTCTATCTTCCGCTGTATGCGTCGCCATGAGCCACCAGTGCACGTGGGCTTCGTTCTAGTCGAGTCTTTTGGAATCTGAGTCAACTCGGACTGAGTTGAGCGAGTCAACTCGAATGAGTCAGTCTAGTCAACTGAGTCAACTCTAACTAAGTCTAGCCTCTGACATTTTACCTAAATCGTTGACCATATCATTGACTTTGACTTTGACCTATTGATTGTTGACTTTGACCAAAAAGTTAACTTTTTGAAAAAAATCATATTATATGTTTTTCGACTTCCTGAGTCAAAATTTGAAGTTCGTTTTGTCAAATTAGAACCCGTTAAGCTGTTTTTCAGTGTTTTATCTTCTGATTCAAATAGTTTTCTCGTTTAAGTTTCGTTTTTGATGTAAAATATTTTGTCATGTGATCGAGATTTTATAGGACGGTGAAATCAAGTGTGAGAGCATTCAAATGGAGTTTAATTGATCGATCGATGTGGCACGAATATTGAGGTAATACTCTATTGTCTTTTATATGCTTTTCAAAACTCATTGATAATTGGTAAATTCATGAATGGAAATGATTGGTCAATTAAGTGTATTTAATTATTGTTGGACTTGAACTGAATATAGAGGAAAAGCATAACATTATATAAGACTCAGATGACTCGTATAAAGAATTGAAAGATCGATAAGAAATAAATCCAAGCTCAGTGAATCATCAGTAAAATAATTAAACTCAGGAATAGAAAATTCTGATTAAATTCTTTAAAGGTTAGATGTCGGAATATTTGGATAAGAATTTACAAAAATAACCCTATTGAGTGAAATTATGAAAATGCCCTTACACTGCAAAAAGACCAAGATTACGCCTGACAATGAAAAATGACCCTGAAAGGACATACATAATCAAATTACCATAAATGTTTGGATTGAATTGAATTACCGAAATATTCTTGAACTATGAAATAACTAAGATAACCTCCATTATTCAAATGACTAAAATGCCCTTAAACCATAAAAGGACCAAACTACATTGATTCTGAAATGATCAAAGTAACATCGAGTATTAAATAACCTAAATACCCTTTTGATCTAGAATTAAGTGGATGAATTAGATCACTTTGGAAACACCGATGAACATATATGTTGTATCGTCCTTAAAGGTTATGAATCACAAATCAAGCATATTGACCATTCTTGATATCATTTCAATTCAGAAATAAAATTAATACCATTGGAATACCTATTTCTCTCTCTAATATCTATTTAATGATGATTCTTGATGTGATCAGTTCAGCTAGTTCAGTCAATATTGAGAAGAGTTATTCGTGAAGGGTCTCAGTATAAATTATTAGCAAACATCGCGATGTTGGGATCTGATTAGTCTGATCTAACTAGAAATTTGGATAATTCAATATAAATCATGGATACTATAAATCATCGTCTTACTAATTATTGGATAAAGTTATTGAGAATTCTTCAGGAATCATAATATCTAAAATGTCCATATGGTTCTGAATAATGGAATCACTCTCAGTAAATCTGGATTTTGAACAATTATGATACAAAGGTTCTTGAATAACTATCTGATGCTCGTGAAAACCGATCAATTTCTGTGTAAGTTCATATTTTTATTCCTGATAATTTTCAAGTGTCTTCAAAAAATATTTGGATCCTCTAGTTTGTTTCCTATGGACAAAAACATTTTCTCTGGTTTATATAAAGTACGATTTCTGATATCTGATTACTAGTTTTTTTATCTCTAGTTTCTGAATTTTGATTTCTGACACAATATACGATTGGCTCATGATTTCTGATATTATTGTTCGTTGTCTAATCTGTTTTACTGGGATACTGTCTGGGTAGGTGTCTGGAGACTCTGAGGTTCAGCTAGCTGGTAAATCTTTTCTGTTTTGATCTTCTATATTGGATTCTTAGAACCTATAGGGTCTGGGTAAGTCCTTATGGATGTCTGTTTTGGGTACTGCCTTTGGTGTACGGTTGTAGGAAAACTATGTATTTTAAATAAAAATCCAGATTTTGATTTTTGTTTTTTGATATTACTGGTTCTATTTGAAACTATTTTATTAGGGTATCGATTAGGTAGGATTTTAGAATCTCTGAGGTTCAGCTAGCTGGTAAATCCTTTATGTTCTGATCATTCATATTGGACTCCTAGATACTAGGGGTCTAGGGTAAGTCCTTATGGATAATGTCCTGAGAAAATTTCACATAGAGTATTCGGATTGAGGATACTACAATGATTTTAGAAACTTGTTTTACTAAAATATATTACTATTGTTTATAAATTATTATTTCATTTTATTCTGGTTTTGAGGTAACACATTAAATGTCTGTTTCAATCTCTTGAACTTGGTCTTCTAAACGTTTCCTCTTAATTATAAGCTTCTTGTCTGTTACCTGAAGAAATATCAATGGAACCTCAGTTCATCTCGAAAACATGTAGATACCGAAATCAATAAGAAAATTTTTATGCTTGTTATTTATCTGCTTGTTCTTCAGCATCATCTGTTAGTTCTGTATTATTGAGCTTCCCAAATCTCACTATTTTACTCACCATTTCAGGTTTAAAGATTTGATCCAGTGCAGCTAACGACTTTAGTTTATGAGTTCCTTCGGTTTGGCTTGTAGAGTACGATACCGGTACAAATAAGGGGGCATGTAGGTCACTTTTGATTTTTATACCGAGTCTGGAACTTGTATGATTTTAATTATGTTTGTAATATATGAATAGTTTTCTGAACTTGTATTTTATTTATAAATTGTTTTATAATTTTAGATGTTTTAAAAAAAATAATTTCTCTTGAATTTTTACTGTGGCTCACTCACATCGATTTAGGTGTGTGACAGTTGTAATCGTCGATTCCTCTTATTATTCAATAAAAAATATCATAACAAATTGATCTGAATTGATATTATGTCTTCTATATATTCCAAATCATTTTTATTCTCTTATCTTTTCTAAATCTAAGATGATTTTGTTCTACTATTTTCTCTTATTTTCCATTTTTCTCTCTTCAATTTTCATTTATTTTTTATTTATTCTCTTTACAATATTTGTGCTGGATTTTAATTGGGTCTTGAACAAACTTTTTATAGATCTCAGTGCTGAGGAAATGACTAGATATTTATGTTGGTGACTACAAAGATGGCGCATGCAAGCTATCGATCTAGGGCTGATTTTTTGTTTCATTTTCTTTTATTAAATTAAGGTAATTATAAATTTGGAGTATTCTTAGTTATTTTATAATAAACGTTTAATCACATTAGTCGTTTTTTTGTAGTTGAATTCGTTATCTATAAGAACAACAACGATTCATTTAAATTCGTGCTTGTTTCATATTATTATATGGATTTGAGAAATCAGTATATCATATTTTAGATCTAAAAAATAAATTAAATTAAAGTTAATTTAATAATATTATTCATATATTATTTGGACTATAAAATTAAGAAAATAAATAAACTTAAATTAATTAAAATATATAAATTAAAATCTAATTTGAGTCGTTTTTCTTCTTTTTTGACTTAATTTTTAGTGACGGATCTAAAGAAAATTTTTAGAGTGAACACAAATATATTAATAATATAAAATTTTTATATCTAAATAGATACTATAAAATTTTAAAGTAAGCACAATAAAATTTCAAAGTGAACATATACATATATTAAAAGATAAAACTTTGAATTTAATTCTAAAAGGTTCGAATTCTCAAAAATTTCAAGTGGGCCAATGTACATCCCCACTGCTTGAGATGATCATATTTAGTACATAAACTATCAATTTTGATTTATTTTAATACCTAAAATTCAATCTTTTCAAAACAATACCTAAAGTTTAATTTTTGTTTTATTTTAATGCCCCCACCGTTAAAGGTTTTGTTTTGTTTTAAAATTTCATTCAAAATTTAACATTAAATTTTGAAAAAATTTAAAGTTTAGATGCTAAAATGGCAAAAAATTGATAGTTTAAGTACTAAAAATGTTATTTTTTCTGACAATTACTAAATGCATTAAATTTTTAACGACAATGTACCAAAATGAAATAAAAACTAAACGTTAAGTATAATTTTGAATAAAAAAAAATTAAAAGTTTAGATGCTAAAACATACCTAAACTAATAGTTTCGGTGCTAAATACATAATTTACCCTAAAATATTTTGTAAGAAAGGACTCATTCTTCTGACCCTTACGCAAGAAGCAAAATGACTATATTTTTCGTTCACATTACTTGAACCCTAAGCTTTATTTAGAAACCATTCCTTACCATATTTGAAACCACTAAATTGATATGAGAAGTGGTTCACACTCTCATATTCGACAAGTATTTCTTAACCTTCGCTTCCTTTCCACGACAAAGAATCAATCAGTCCTTTGCACATTCCTATAGCAAAAGCTTAGGGCTAAGCTTTTTGTTTTTCCCACATTCGATGTTCGATCGCTTTACCACGGCCGTATCGAACATAAACATCGAAAACAAACTCGTCAAGATTTACAAGCAAATCATAGATATTAACGAGGATAACACAACCCAACAGCAGAATAGGATTTGATTACAAGAATATTAACAAACTTCATTTTTTTAAAGAGACAAATCACACTACCTGCACTGCAGATTACAAATATCGACTGCAAAACCCAGCAATAAACGAAAACCAGCTTCTACCTATACACCCAACAGTCAATAGTTCCTTTTCTTCCCCTCTTTTCCTTTTAGTTCGTATCTAAGCAGAGGAAAATAATAGCAATCTATGTCAGAAAGGTTGCATACCGATTCGGCAAATTCTTCTGATTAAATCTTTTTCCCAGATTTCTTCAAAGATCAATATCAGTGAACATAGGTTCATCGGCATGCAAGTTTTATAATGTTATAACCAATCACCAAAGTAGAGGTAAATATATAGATATATTATAAAGAAAAATAAAACAAAGGACACAGGAGACCTATGCAAATTTTGCTCCCTGACGCTGCTGCAATTAAAATACGTCGTCATTGAGTGCTGCGTGTCAACCCACTTCGGGATAAATTCCTGCGTAAAATCGAGAACTTCAATGTTCAGAATATACTACCAATGTAATCAATGAAAGCTAAACTAATATGTGAACATCTATCTATTCCAGGCCTTTGACTTCAACAAGTCATACAAAATCAATTTGGCAGCTAATAAAAAGGAATTAACAACTAGATTCATTGACGGTCTTTATATACTGTGTCCAGAAGAGTATTAGAAAAACCGACCGAACCAACCAAAAAAAATCTGATCACTAGCCCCTACTTTAGAATGGTTAGTATGTTTTCTATTGGCATGTACAAGAGTATAATTATAGCTCAGCTAATTTGCACACGCTCTCTCTCTCTCTCTCTCATTTTATTGCTCAGATACCTTTTTCTTCTTAGCCAGCTACCTATAGGTTCTCAAAGATGCTACCAAAATAATAGAGAAAAAGACAATTTCATCAGATGACTCCCATGTAAAAAAAAATCCAGACTTGGAATGGAAACGAATATTGCTGTGAAATCAAGGAACTAAAAGATGAGAATAGTTTTAGGTATCAAAAGATTTTGAAAAAGCTTGATAAAGTAATTATGATGCTCCATTTTTCAAAAGGCATTAATTTGATCAGCAAGATGACAGTCTATGCTACTACTTCAATGCGGTCCTAAGCAGACACGGGATAAGAATTCTGTCTATTAGAAACCTAGGTCATTTTTATTCGCATATAAAATTCAAGTTAGCATGACAGTATAAATTAAAACATAAAAAAGAAACGAAGTAAGAAAATTCAAATGAAAAAGAAAAAGAAGATGCAAACATGCTAAAGCTAGAATGTGCAGGTTGGCACCACGGCTGCTTACCCCACAAAATAATGGGAAATGCAACAAAAGCAATATAGAGAAAGAAGGAATATTTAAACCTAAATAACGAAGTAAAGAATAAAAGCACCTTCCAGCAAGCAGCTGGGCAGCAGAACCCTTAGAGTTGGAGTTACCAAACCGCTTGGCCCTGTTCTCGTGTTCTTTCTCCACACGCATGGCAGCAACCTCTTTCTCCATTGCAGCCACTTCTCTTCTCATCTTTTTAGCTTCAATTTCCATTGCCTTTGTCAAGGTTTCCACCTTCTTAGCAAGCATCTGAAAAGACAAGGATTACTTGAGCATATACCCTGAAGGATAACTTCCAATGGTATTGAACTTAAAGAATAAAGCATAAACCTCAATTGCATCATCTTTATCTTTGAGGCTTTGATCTTTCTCGTGACCAGCTTTCCTCAAAGCTATGACCTCTTTTTGCAGCAAATCGTACAATATTGCTGGAACATGATCCTCTGTGTCAACAGGCTGAAAATCAGTGGGTTTTTCATCATTTGGTACCTCACCCACCTTGGTTCCATCGGAAGGCTGCTTGAATGAACTATTTGAGCCATTTCCATTTAAAACTGATCTAGCTCTCTCTAATGATCTTGTGCCTCCATCAAAAGACTTGGATGTTCCTTTAGCATGCTTCAAAACTGTGCTAGATGACAAAGAGGATCTCGATTGAGAGCTTGGTGATCTCTTGGATAAAAATCCATTGGGTGTAAGTTTTGAGCAGTTATCAACTCCACCCAAAGACTGACGCCTAGAAGGCCCGTTGCTCATGTTTCTTAAATCCGATGAACAGCGACTAAGACCGTTAGGAGTTCCTCTCAAGCTCTCTTCAAGAACTTTAAGCCGCATTTGATATTTCTCCTGGAAAATCAAAATAAAAGCCCTTATTTCAAAGCAGCAGCAGCATCAACATATAGAACACAATGGTAAGTATCACAATCAGAATCTTACTTTCAATTGTGCCTCCGATTTAGCAGTTCGTTCGGTTATAGCAAGCTTGTCACGTAGTTGCTGCATTTCTCCCTTTAAGAAATAAAATCCACAATGAATAAAAAGACTTAAAGGGCCTATATTAATACTGAACGGGAGAAACCAATAAAACCTGCAAGAATCGCCGCTCTTCGAGCCATTGTTTTACAGGCATCACTTTGTCATTAGAATCTTTCCACTCATTTGCTACAACCGTTGCCACTCTATTTGCTGTTACTTTTGCACGTGCCAACTCCCGGTCAAGAGTTTTTCTTTCCTCCTAAGGAACAAAAACAATCATTTATTCAAGAAGAGCTCTAAGAGTATTTCAACATAAAAGGATACGGAAAACTTGGACACTTAAATGCTAAACAAGATTACATTCATCTCCTGAACTTTCCGCTGGTAATCCCTAACTGCATTTGCAGCAGCACCACCAGCAAGAACAGCCTCCTCCAGCTCTCTTACTGTTTGTGTAAGCTTTTCAACCTCTGCAACCTTTTGGCGATGCATTTTGTCCAAAATTTTGTTTTCTTCCTACGTAGACAAGTCAAACATGCGACTTTATTCACTATATAAAATATAGACTGAGCACAAAATATTAGGCTAAACTCATAAGTCCTAAATTTGATGCACCTGACAAAAGGAAACACCGAGAACAACTACCATACCTGGCAAATTTCTATCTGCTTCATCAACTCCTGGTTTTTATTTTGGAGATCATCCACCATGGACGCTTTGGCTAGTGCAACCTGTACAGTCCTTTCAGCTTCAAGTAAAGCTGCTTCTTTTGATTTAGTTAGACGATCAAGGGCTTTATTGTCATCTTGAAGCTTTGCAATCTGCAAGGAACCAAAAGAACTAATCAATGAGAGAATAATCAATCACATATAATTTATAAAACATCTCAATTATTTTTGTGAGACAAACAATAGTTCAAAAGTCGCAACAAAACCTCTTGCCGAGCAAGCTTCAGTTCCGCTTCCAAGGGTGCAAGAATTGCTTCAATAGGAGGCATATCATCGTCCTTTTGAGCAGCATGGACCCTCCTTAGAGTGGCCTCGGCTGCAAACTGAGCAGCCATCGATGCCTTCTTCTCATCATTTATTTTCTTGATTTCAAGGTTCTGCAAAACATGTTTATTAACTAATTATAGCAACATACCAATATAAGGTAAGCTTGAAAACATTTCCCATGCAATACCTTGCTTTCCAGAAGAGATTCAGTCAACTTAAGCTTCTCTTCCATCCTCGAGACCTCATCAGTGAGCTATTGATCAAAAGAGAAGCAAAGTTAGTATCCATCTCAATCAAACAAATATTACAAGAATGCCAAGTCAGATAATCCATGTTAACCCACATTTCAGATGTGTCCAGCATTGCAAACAGCCATACTTATATGGTATATTCAATTACTAAAAAAATGTTGATAAACAAAGTCTTCGATGAAAGAGCATTGGCAAGTATGTAGAAGAGCAATAAATTACATAAAGGTGATGATTTTTCCTGAACAATAAAAGGGATCTTACGCAATCCAGAAATAGTAAGAAGATAAAACAGGAATTAATCATCTGAATCCCTAAACAACAAAAAACTCATTAAAACATGAGGTCGGGATTGCTAAACACGTTACAGATTTAAATATAGGAAGTAGAAAACATAAATGGAAGAATAACATTTAATCTAACAGGAATCTACGACATAAGTTCTATACTACATGCAAGAAAGAAATCTTATGACAAATTTTACAGGCCAAATGAAATTAACAGACAGAACCAAAGCAACTTAAGAGATGAAAACATTAAAATTATCTACAATTTTAAAATCAGATCATACAGGTAATACAAGGCAACCTGAAAATGAAGTTGGATAAAGCATCATAAATGGAGTTAGATGAGACAGCCCATCAATGACTCCCTAAAACTACTGAGCAACAATTATCAATGATGAAACTTCCAACCAACATGAATTTGACAGAATAGTACGTATTTCAGCAAATTACGTCCCTAGAGACCAACAAACTAACTTTCCAATCATCAGAAGTTACAGATTTGCTATCACCAATGGAAACACAAGCAGACACAAAACGTACAAGCAAAAATTTTGCAGGATCTACTTTTCTTCAGTAAAATAACAATATGCACTGAAAATCTGAAACATAAACAGTCTCATCCTTTATCATTTTTTTACCAGTTATTATCATCTATAAACCGTAATCTTCCCAAAATAAAATAAAATATCCTTTATGTGGAGGGGAAAAAACAATGGACTTCATCACTTCCATACTAAGATCACACAAGGGGGAGGGGGAAATTAAGAAATTTCCAAATTTTTCATAAAAAAAACTTACTACTTATATTACCATCATTACTTAAGTGTTTCCACCAATTAGTTAAAATAATTTCTTCAATAAAAATAAGAACCAATAATTTTTATTTTTTTCCAAAAAAAATAAACCTCTTCGACAGCCTTTTCTCTAAGCCTTTCAGACATCCTTAATGCCTTAATTTCCGCTTGTGCTTCTCCTAATTCTCTATCTTTATCTGTAACCCAATCAAAAAATAATAATCAAAATTCAAAACTATAACAAGAAAATTAAAATAAAAAACGGTTAATATTAAGTAAAAAGCAGCTGATTGAGCCGAATCGATGAGAAAAACAACTAGATCGAGCAACATTCTTCACCTCTAACTTCATTCTCCAACCGATTTAGCTCTACTTTCACCGGATCCGACCCATGAAGCAACGTAATGAACTCATTATCCGCATCGAAGCTAGACCTAACAGGTCTCCTCCTCGACGAACCTTTCCCCCCGCTCTCCTTAAACGACGCCGACACCGTCAACGACGGAGGAGCTCCCGCCGAGGTCGACGTCATCCTCACCCGCGACTCACTCCCAGCATTGCTTCCTACATCCACCGCTTCGCCGTCAGTCTCCGACATCTCTGATATCTCCGATTCAAACACTCCCTCTCACCAATCTCACGCCCAGAATGCAACCAAAACCAACCGAAAAAAACTATTTCCAAACAGAGAAGCTTGCTTCACATCTAATACTTCAAGTGGATCCAAATGCTAGGGTTCCAAATCAGTTAAAATACAACTGTTGAACAGATTCTCAGATATAGAAGAACAGAAAAATAAGAAGAAAAAAAAGAGAGAGAGAATGAAGATAAAGAAAATAATGTTTTGCTCCTTTTTTTTATTTCTCTCCCTGTAGATTGTGTATTTAAATCTGGACCTGGTAACAGTGACTGACAGAGTGAAGAGAGAGGAAGAGAGTAATTAGCAATAGAGATTAAATTAATCATTAGTTATTCTAGATTGATTTATCAAAGTTTAATAAATACTCGATTTAAATAGACTCGATTCGAGCTCAGTTATTAACGAGCTGAAACGAATTACTTGATACTCAATTTGGAAAGCTCCAACTACTCGAAGATATAATATATTAAAAATTTATTATTTTAAAACAAATTATTAATAATATTGATATTTATGTTTTTTTAAGTACAATATAAGATTTTCATGTATTTTAGATTCATATTTGAGTTTGAGCTCAATCCAGTTAAATTTAAGATTTTTTTCATTTAAAGCTTTTACGAGTTCCAATTCATGATTTCGAGTTCGAGTTGATCTTAAAAAGTTTAATCTCGTGAGTTTTTTCATTTAAATTAAATTCTATTTTTGAGTTTTTGAGTTAAATCAAATTTAATAATACTCGAACTTAACTTCACTCGATTACGTCCCTTTCTAGTCCTAGTTTTTTCTCCGCATTTTTGAACTTATTAGGCTTCCGTATGCGCATAGGGGTTGCTAAAACAAGTAAGGGTTTGTGATTATGGCTGGTAATTGTTTGATCGGATCGGTTAAAAATTTGACTTGATTTGAGAGGTTATTTTGGGTAAATTATGTGTTTAGTATCTATATTATTAGTTTTGATCCGTTTTAATAATTAGATTTTTAATTTTTTCAAAATCATATTTAATGTTTAATTTTTGTTCTGTTTTAGTATAGGGTTATTAAAAACTTAACGGGAACTTTGCACGTGACACCTTTTTATGGGTAAATTACATCATTCATCATTCAATTATATTCTCACTCCTATTTGGGTCACTAAAGTTTAAATATTTTTAATTTGATTACTTAACTTTCAAATTACTTCTAATTTAATCACTCTAACTTTCAAATTTACTCTTTTATTTTTAATTATATATTAATAAAATAAAAAATGTCATATCACAAAAATTATTAATAAAATAAATTAGAGTTATTAAAATAGGAGTAATTTGAAAGTTGAGTAATTAAATTGAAATTTTTTTAACTTTAGTACCAAAATAGGACTGAGAATATAGTTTAGTGATGAATGATGTAATTTACCCATAAAAATACAATGTCGTTGAGCTTTTACCGATAGATACTAAAATGAAACAAAAACTAAATTTTAAGTATGATTTTGAAAAAATTAAAAGTTTAGATACTAAACAACCCAAACTAATAGTTTAAGTATTAAATGCGTAATTTATCCTTTAAAAATATGCTATCAAATCCAAACTTATTGGATTCAAGTTAAAATTTATATTTTTAGTTACTTTTTATTTTATTTATTAAATACTAATATTTTTATTGAGTATTTAATATCAGAACTAACTTAAAGTTCATTCTTTGAGGTCCAAATTAGCTCGACTAATGACTTTCAACGCGGTTATATAAATGACGGATGGTAAGAGGCCAGAGCGGATATGACCCCTAAAATTTTGAAATATTACTATTTAACCCTTAAAATTTTAGGAAATACTTCCAAATTTTCAAATATTATAAATTTAGTCACTCCCCATAAAATTTTAAGTAGTCCTTAAATCTTACAGATTTAAAACTTTAGGCCCTAATTTTCTAAATAATTTAATTAAATCTTTTAAAAAAGTTATTAGACATCTAATTTTTTTAATATTTTAAATATACCCTCTAATTTCTCACTTTATAAGAACAAAAAAGGGAATCGACCCTATGGTTTCAATTTTTTTTATTACAAATTGTGGAACAAGTGAAGCAAATGTCAATGTATCCTTAACTTGTGGGTATATGTGGCAAACATGTCACTGGCAGCAATGTACATTTTATCAATAAAAGGTCATTTGTAGCTTAAAAATGAAAATTGAAGCCATGACTTAATTAGATGGAGGGATGTTTACAACACCAAGTTCATTGTTGTTGGAATTAATATAAAGTCACGTCTCAATTGAGGGGTCGTTTTTTTAGGGTAAACTACAACGTTGGGTCATTAAAGTTGGCATTATTAGTTTAAACCCCCCAATTTATTTATTAGAATAATACCCAAACAACATTAGTTAGAAAAATACTCTCAAACTGTCAACGTGAAAAAAAAATGCAGGCAACGTCACTGGCAGCAATGTCCATTTTCTCAATAAAAGGTCATTTGTAGCTTAAAAATGAAAATTGGTGCCCATGACTTGAAAATGCAGGCATTCGAGTTTTATGGATATTTGACTTACGAATACCCACCTCTTAAGAAACGGGCCATGGGACGAATTTTTGTGATCCAACAATCCTGGGTACTCGAAATCGAGCACCCGAATTTGAACACCCTCAATGTCAACGTGAATTATAATGATGACATGACAAGTTATTATGTCAGTAATTTTTTTAAAAAAAATTAAATTTTATTATATAAATTACAACCAACCAGATGATGATACGAGACATCATTTGATTGAATATAAATTAGAAATTTCAAAAGTTAATCTATTGTGAAAATCAAATACATGTGAACGCAATGGGGAGAATAAATTTTTGCCGCCAAGCTAATACACTAGTATATGATCTATCGGTCGATTAATTCAGATTAAATTATGTAGAGATTTATCACAGAGATAATCCTCTCAATCCCGTCATTGTGTATTGATAATTTTAACAATCATATCAAAAATTATGTATTTTTTTAAAGGATAAATAGAGAATAATTGAAAGAAAGAAGAAGTGAAAATAAAGCTGCACTCTTAGCTTTATCGAAAACTTTTCTATCCCACAAAGAATCAACCTGGAAGTGGACATATTCGAGCCATGCTTCCTAGAGGGCAAAAAAAAAGGACCTAATATTATAATTGGTATATTTATATAGTTTTTAATGTTAATAAATTTATATTATTTTTTTTATATTTGAACGAATTTGTATTTACTGTTTCGTATTTTATTACACAATATAAAACTATAAAAACTTTAAGAGACACCTTCGCCACTTAAGTTGACTCAATTTATCATCTTCGTCTTTATTATATTTTCGTATCAATTTATCCCTCAAAGTTGTTTAATCTCGTCATTCTATGCCCCTAAATTATAAATCCTAAGTTATGATTTAAGGTTTAATGTTTATGGTTTAAAGGTTATGAGATTATAGTTTAGGGTTTATAATCTAGGGTTTTAAGTTAGGGATAGAGCATAAAATGATGCAATTGAGTAACATCGAGAGTTAAATTAATGTGAAAATACGATATAGACGAAAGTGATAAATTAAATCCGCTACATGACAAAAATTAACCATTTACCAACTATAAACTATTGATATTTTTATATCATAATTCGGATGATAAAGTGTATCTAAGATACGTACAAAAGCATGCAGACATGTACACAAACTGTTGTTTGGTATTCGAACAACATAATGATATTGACACTGTATCAACTCATTCTTTAAAATGGGATTTTTCTTAATTTGTATAATTTATATTCGAGATTTGTTTTATTTTTAAAATAAGATAAAATTTTAATTAGTCATTTTGTTTTTATAACATTTATAAAAGCACAACACAATTATTTACATTTTAAAGTTGGCATAAAGACATAAGAGGCCCTATACTTTTGAGAAAAATCACCGTGACCTTTGTATTGTTTTTTCCTTCTCAATGTGATCCTCTAACTCAGACAATAAATCCAATGTCACCCTTTGGCCAAGGTTTTCGTCGTTTGACCCATACGGTGCTGACGTGATAGTTCACAGTACTTACGTTACAGGCCACGGTATTGACGTGACAGTCTATCTGTCATTTTTGAGTTGTCAATTTAACCCATCTGTCATGTTATCTTTCACGTTATCAACTAGGGATGGACATGAGTCAGGTCAGATTTTCAACCCACCCGACGCGACCCGAAAATTACAAATACCCGAACCCGACTTGAAAAATATATATCTTCCCCGAACCCGACCCGATTTTTTGAGATAAAATCCAAACCCGGCCTGACTTGACCCGAAATAATATATTTTAAAAATATTATTTTTATTCAATAAAAATAAGATCTAATTGAAAGAAAATAATATATAGAGGGGTATTATTGCAATTATCCCTCAATATATAAGGTAAAATTATAATTTTTCAGGTTGAATATTTTTCACCCTAAACCAGAACCTGACCCAAACCCGTATTTTTTTAAGAAATCTGACCTGATCGAGTCGAGTTCGGGTTCTATTCCCATTCCTATTATCAACCACCATAGACTGCTACATCAGCATCGTGGATTGCATGTCAGCACCGTGAACTATCACATCAGCAACATATCAGTCAAATGATGAAAATGTTGGTTAGAGGGCCATATTGGATTCATTTTCTGAGTTGGAGAGTCATATTGATAGGAAAAATAATACGAGGGTCACGCTGGTTTTTTTTTTTGAAAGGTACATGTAACAACCAGAATTTTTTACAAAAATAATATTTAATTGAAATTAAAGGTTAATTGTAAAACTTGGCGAAAATTGGGGACTAAATTGAAAGATTTTAAAATTTGGAGCTTGTGTTAGAGTTAAAGAAAATTCAGGGACTAAGCCCTGAATTTACCCAATAAAATTAGGTGAATTTTGGTTATATATATTATATGCGTGGGTGGTTTTCTGATTCAAAACAGAAAACCACCACCCCAAATTTCCTTTCCCCTACGTTCGTTTCCGACCCAGATCCAGACGTCGTCCGAATTCCGATCGTCGTTTTGAAACCACCGTTGTGTTCATCATCGAGCGAGGAACAAACCCTTCAATTTAATTGAAGCGAAAGGCGGCCAAACGTCGGGAATTTCCAGTCAAAGTATCGACGTTTTTTTTAGCTTTATCGCCGGAAAATCTTAAATTCATCGCCGATCGTTGCTCCGTTTACGACACCTCCTGCACCATCGTGTTCCTTGTGCAGTTTCGAGTCCAC